AACTTGAGTTGCATACCCGAGTTCCACATTGAATGAAACTTGTATTAAGACAAAATTGACAAGGTCATCGTTTAAATCAATTGAACGAAACATAGAACAATTTGATTTAATTCACAGTGACGTATGAACCTAAAGCTTGTACAAACAAGAGGTGGCAACAAGTATTTCATTACTTCTGTCGACGATAGCACCAAATACTATTATGTGTGTTTGCTAAAAAGTAAAGATGAAGCTATAGAGAAATGTATTCTCTGTAAGAATGAAGTTGAAACTCAATTTAATAAGAAAATTAAGGTGCTAAGAAGCAACCGAGGTGGTGAGTATGAAGCACCATTTACTGAATTCTGTGCACAACACGAAATCATACATGAAATCACCGCACCTTATTCATCGCAACAAAACGGTGTCATTGAACCAAAAAATTGTACTTTAAAGGAAATGATAAATACAATGCTAGTAAGTTTTGGGTTATCTCAGAACATGTGAAAGGAAGCTGTGTTATTAGCAAATTACCTTTTAAATAAGGTGCCTCGAAAGAAAAAGGAAAAGACCCCTTATGAGTTATGGAAAGGAAGAAAGTATTCCAATAAATACTTACGAGTGTGGGAGTGTCTTACTAAAGTGGTCATTTCAACACCGAAGGTAAGGATAGGGCCAAAAAATAGTAGATTGCATCTTCATTGGCTATGCACACGATAGTAGTGCTTATCGATTTCTTGTATATGATTCTAAAATCCCGGACATACATAAAAACACATTATTGAAATCAAGAAATACTTCATTCTTTGAACATGTATTTCCGCACAAGTCCAAAGAGGAAGCAAGCTCCTCTAAATGAACATAAGAGACTATGACTAAAAATAGTTATAACGACAAACTAGAAGAGGCGACTGAGGTTAGACATAGCAAACGGGAAAGGACAGAAAAATTTCATGGTCCTGATTTTCTGACCTATATGCTAAAAAGTGAACCTCAAAGTTATCAAGAGGCTGCGAAACCCTCAGAAGGACCTCAATGAAAGGATGCATTAAAAGTGAAATAGATTCCATACTGTAAAATCATACATGGGAGCTAGTGAATCTTCCTCCGGGAAGTAAACCACTAGGCTACAAATGGATTTTCAAAAAGAAAGTGAAAGCAGATGGAACTATCGAAAAGTATAAGGCCAGATTAGTAATAAAAAGTCACATACAAATGGAAGGCCTTGATTACTTTGATACATATTATCCAGTGACGAGAATAACATCTATTAGGGTGATACTTGCGATTGCCGCTTTACGAAATCTTGAAGTACATCAAATAAATGTTAAAATTGCCTTTTTAAATGGAGATTTAGAAGAAGAAATCTATATGGAACAACCCGAGGGGTTTTCATCACTAGGGTAGGAAAAGAAAGTTTGTAAATTGGTGAAATCATTATATGGCTTGAAACAAGCACCCAAACAATGACATGAAAAATTTGATAATTTCATGATAGAGAGTGAATTTAAAATCAATGAGTGTGACAAATGTGTTTACGTTAAAGATACTAAAGATGATTATGTCATTTTATGTCTTCACGTTGACGACATGTTTATTGGTGGTAGTGACAATAAGATGATTGAATCCACTAAAAATATGTTAAATTCGAGATTTAACATGAAAGATATGGGTTTAGCTGATGTTATACTTGGAGTCAAAATCTCAAGAACATCAGATGGGTTTGTTCTAAATCAGTCACATTTTGTGGACAAAATTTTAGAAAAGTTCAATAAGGATGATACTGGCTTGGTTAGAATACCGATAGATACAAGTCAAAATCTATCTAAAAATAAAGGTGAAAGTGTCTCTCAAGTAGAATATTCGAGAGTTATTGAAAGTTTAATGTACTTAATGAGTTGTACAAGACTAGACATATCCTACATAGTTAGTAAACTGAGTAGATATACGAGTAATCTAGGAACTGATCACTGGAAAGAAATAGTAAGAGTACTAAGGTACTTAAGATATACTCATGACTATGGACTATATTATACCAAATATCAAGTGGTCATCGAAGGATACAATGATACTAATTGGATATCTAAGATAAAAGACTCAAAGTCCACTAGTGAATTTGTGTTCACATTGGGAGGTGCTGCCATATTGTGAAAATCCTCTAAGCAAACAGTTATAACCAGATCTACGATGGATCTGAGCTTATAGCTCTAGATAAATATGATGAAGAGGTCGAGGGGTTGCACAACTTCTTAGAGGATATTCCAAGATGATCAAAACTCGTGCCAACAATTATATATATTGTGACAGTCAATCAGCAATAGGAAGGGCACAGAGTAATATGTACAATGGTAAGTCTAGACATATACATCTTAGACACAATACTATAAGACAACTACTCTCAACTGGAGTTATCACTATTGACTATGTAAGGTCAAAAGATAACATTGCGGATCCGCTAACCAAAGGGTTAAATAGAGAGTTAGTTGGGAAATCATTGAAAGGAATGTGATTTAAGCTCTTGAATGGATAAGTCATTACAAAGAAAATCCAACCTAGTTGACTGGAGATCCCAAGATCTAAGTTCAAAGGGACAACCTTATTGTAAAGACTTAATAAAATCACTGTGGGGGTATTACCTCTTGTCTATTCCTATGATGTAATAGTGATGCCTGTAAGGATGAAAGATAAGCAATAGACTTTTAATGATTCTTATTCATAGAAAATTGAGCCAAGTTTATTGAAAATATTACTCCATAAACAAGTCCAACATCTATTTATCACCTTTTGAAAGCCCATTTGTCTTTGGGTACAAAATATAGAAAATATTTTACAACATACTAGGGACTTTACGATTGGATGCATCTACTAAATTTTTGTTGGAAAATATGAGTAAATGGCTCACTTTTGGCACACTTTTCGGTGGGACACGTTAGTCCAACTTGGAATATCAAAATTGATCCGTATTTTCCTCGTGAGAGCATCGAAATTATATACTTAATTGCCAAAAATGAAGCTCCGATAAATGAGAAATTGGAGCTCAAAATTGACCATTGAAAGATGATTTATGTGAGAAAAATGAGTTTGTTCTATATAGGAAAAATATGAAAGTAAGAACCATTTTAAATATGGTTGCACATTGAAAGGGTGTAATCATGTGTAGCATAGATACGCTCTTCACATGCGCGCGCATGGTGTGCAAATCATGGATCGAAATTGCCTTTGGACCTTGAACTTGTGTGCGAGCGCAACCTGCGTACACGAATGTCGGACCGAATGAAGCAAAAATTGGCATGTTTGGAGTGTCCACATTTTGCAATTTTTTGCTTTCTCCAACTGACATTTGAGTTTTCGAAAACTGCCAAAACTCCCAGAAATTGAAGCAACTCCAGTGTTTATTGCTACGAGTTAATAGACAGATTTAATCTTATATTAAGTCTCATTTCCAGCAATTCTTAACACGAGAATACATACCAGGAAATTACTGTCTGCACACACACGAAAATATTCTGCAAATTAGTGTTGTTTGCATATATAATCTGTTGCATTTCCAGCCTCGTCTTGGTGGTGATATTGTTCGAATACAAACTCAGTTCGCCAGGGTAGTATCTGTTATGCTCAGATTCTACGGGTTTTACCGTTGTATCCTGGAAAATAGACGCTCGGATTAGACCTCAAGCACTTACAGTGAGGGGGCGAATATGTTTTAAGGAAACTGTGTTCGCACATGCCTCGGGTTGAAAATTCATCTGCTATTTATTTATTTTGTGATTACACTTCGAAATTTATTCTTGCAAATTTATTTTTTTAGCGTTTATTCTTTTGATTCATATGATTTGTAGTTTTATTATGTTATTTTTCTATTTATGTTTATTAAAAGTAATCTGCGTTAATTTCTGTTTATCTTAAAAATAAAAATTTGAAAAAAATTACTGTAATTTCAGTATATGTAAGTGTAAAATCGGTATGTGAAAATACAGTATATATATGAAATAGGTAAAATAATATGTGTAAATACGATTAAAAGCATATACGGTAAGCTGCATATACGATATATTTCATTTACGGTATACTTAAATTCGATATCTAAAATACATATACAATATGAGTTAATAATCTGATTTCATCCACTAACATCCAACAGTTTTTTCTGCAAGTTTACAACTTGTCATTCAGAAAGTCACTGAGCAGGTGGAAAAGAGGACTAATTATTGACATTGGCAGAGCATGAGAAGAAACACTGGTCCCTATGAGAGTGACTTATCCAGTTTCCTTGAATATCTCATTTATCTGCCAAAATATTTTGGCGCTGGAACTTTTGGACATGAGTTCTGGACTGATTGTGTACTCTTGAAGCTTGTAAAAGTAACTACAGCTTTATGCTTTTTAAGTTGAAAATTTTCTTTTGCCTTCACTTTCACTTTCCAAGGTGGGCTGAGATGGCCCACAACTTGAATTTGTTATAGTGCCATGCCCAATGAAGTTTATCAAAACAAGCCACATGAGCTGGTTGGAACCATATATTGGAACCGTTCTACTTTGCCACCGCTATCACTATATGTAACTTACGAGTCACGTAGGCAAAAGGTCGCAAATTTTCAACTCCAATAACTATAACAAAAATGGAGGAGATATGCCAGAGGTGCGTTTGGGGTATTCACGTATTTTTTACATGTAAATTAGTAGACATTGAAGAAGGTACAATAGGTATTGCATTGAATTTGGAACCATTATATTGGCTTTTTATGCCCCATATTGAAAGGAATATCTTGAAAAGTATGATAAATCGCGTTGCGAGATTGATTGTCTTTAGAATGAGAGACGTTTGCGAGGAGTAAAGAATTGAAATGACGCCCGGGTGAAAGCTAGATATTTATCCCAGGTAAAATGAGCAAAATCCCAAAAGAAGGTAGAATAAAGAAAAAATAAACACAAGAACTTTATTCAGAATTTAGATTATTCTTTGATAAGTTCAAGCTTTTATTTTTATGTATCATATGAGAAACAAAGAATAAAAATCACATTTTCACATCAACAAGAAATTCAAGCAAACAACAGTATGGTTAGACGCACTGTCGACTCCAACGTCAACATTGTGCTCATGACATTGATGCGACTCGATCAACATTGCCTTCACATGTCCTAAACAATAAGAGAGATACTTCTCGAAGTTGGATCTAAGATCGGACTACTATCATCGAGTGCTTATCTTAGATCTTCTGTCTAAGAATTATAATAATACACCAATTTTCTCACAGCAAACATAGAGTTGCAGTACATACATTTTACAACCCATTTGTTTTTTGTTAACAGAATTTTTTACAACTTGAGTACATGCATATTTTTATCTTGTAACATGTAATCTTCAAATCCCACAACACAACATGAAACTATAAGAAACTGTATGCAAATGCTCACAGAAATGTGAAAATACTAAACTGTGAAAGCCGGAATGTGGGAGAGCATTAGAAGCATCATGCTGCTTGGCGGCGAAGTATTTCAACAGAACTCAGTTCTTGATTTCTTGCGAACCGATATACTACCTCTCTGATGATCTCTAAAAATTCTGATCTCAGAACAATCCCTCAAGTCCTCAAGGCTAATATATTGTTGCTTAACCATCCTAGAAAAATCACATCCAGTGTCATGTATCCAAATGTAAGGATGGCATGTTTCATCATAGTAATACAGCAAACTCCTCATTCCTCCACTACCGGGGCCGCCCTTAGTCCTCCCCGGGATGTAAGCCTTGTAAATGTTCTTCGAATTCAGCCTCTTCGATGAACCTGGCTTCAACGTGTGAACTTTCTTCAGTATTGATCCCACCCTTATCTGAAGTTCAATTGGTTTATCACTAAAATTCCAGATTCTCGTCCCATGTCCTGAAACTCGGGTGTGATCCTGGCATCCATTGAAACACTTCATAACCGAAACAAAGCTTAGACAGTGCATTTCACCTGTAGGAAGATTTAAATGGGAAAAAGTTGCTTATGATTCACGAGAAGGACACGAGTGTCTCGAGACTAGATGATGAATCTCTTGTATACTCGGCTTTCACTCTCTCAATATATGAAATGGCATTCAATGATCAACTCTTTAATGATGCAAAATTTGTATAAAACCACTTCTTCAAGTGTTTCGAAAGATCAC